GTTAGGTGGTGACATGTTAGGTGGTGACATGTTAGGTGGTGACATGTTAGGTGGTGACATGTTAGGTGGTGACATGTTAGGTGGTGACATGTTAGGTGGTGACAAGTTAGGTGGTGACATGTTAGGTGGTGAGATGTTAGGCTGTCTCTTATACACATCTAGATGTGTATAAGAGACAGATGCAGGGCCTCACATGGCCTGGCTTATCACATTTTTATCAGGATTCACGCGTGAAATGTCAAGATTTTATTCTTATTATTATTATAGACATGTAATTTTATTTATAGACATATAAGATTTTATTTTTATTATTATTATACACATGTGGGCTGATATTCAATAAACAGAGAGACGCTAACTGAGGCAAGACATTTACACGGTTGTCCGACTCTTCTATTTATAAAAACACTCCGAAATTATATTTAAAAATAAAACACAATGTGAAATGCTATACGAGATGGTGACTCGATTAATACATGCAGGAAAGGCTGCTAGTTCCCTAGCTATTCGTAGCTACACATTACTATTCGCAAGAGTTTCTATTAATATTTTACTATTATTATTTAATATTACTATTCGCAAGAGTTAGCTACTATTCGTAGCTACTCTTACAAATAATGAACTGATTATTTATTAGTATTTAACTGATTTATTAATTATTATTGTCTGATTATTATTATTATTAACTGATTAATTTATTATTATTTAACTGATTATTTATTATAATTAACAAATAATCGACAGAGCCCAAGTCTCCCCAGCCAGGCCACTACAGGCGCGCTGTCAGCGCCAAAATAACAGAAGTTTTTTGTCGGATTTTTCTGACGAACGCCATGTGGCACTATGTGGCGTGCCATGCGATGCCACATAGTGCCATGTGGCAGCACAAGTCGCCGTTTATGTGCAAGTCAGAGGCACGTGAGAACAGCCTCAAGAGGCACGTGAGAACAGCCTCAGAGGCACGTGAGAACAGCCTCAGAGGCACGTGAGAACAGCCTCAGAGGCACGTGAGAACAGCCTCAGAGGCACGTGAGAACAGCCTCCTAGGCACGTGAGAACAGCCTCTGAGGCACGTGAGAATAGCCTCTGAGGCATGTGAGAACAGCCTTAGAGGCACGTGAGAACAGCCTCAGAGGCACGTGAGAACAGCCTCAGAGGCACGTGAAGACAGCCTCAGCTAACTTGTTTTCAAACAAGAGCGTCGCAGGAGACACTCAGAGTTCTATGTAAGACAATATGTCCGTTGTAGGCGAGATATTTGCTGACGGAAGCACCGCCAACTCAGCAGACTGCGCTCACAAGTCCAGGTCGACATCATCCCGCTAAGTATTTATTATAATATTATATTATTATCGCAATTATCGCAAGTAAGCTGTATAATGAGAGAGAAATGCGCGCTATTGATTAATGCTTGAAACTTTAATGGTGTAAATTTCGATTACTTTATCCCAGTAAGTGGAACAATGTCAGGACAAAAGTTATTTGATCTTAGTGGCATCACAAGACTTTGTTCTGTGATCCGCTGATTTTCATGATAAAAAGCAGGCCATAGTTTGCGCCCATTGCGTATAGCTGATGTAATTACTTTATATTTTGATGCAACCCTAATTGCGTATAGCAATTAAGGTTGGTGGTGACATGTTAGGTGGTGACATGTTAGGTGGTGACATGTTAGATGGTTACATGTTAGGTGGTGACAAGTTAGGTGGTGACATGTTAGGTGGTGAGATGTTAGGAGGTGACATGTTAGGTGGTGCCATGTTAGGTTATATTAAATTAGGTTAGGTTATCACTTTATCAACAGTATTGCGTAAATTCGATTATTAAATCCTATAAATTTTTCACCAGCAACCGCCCGCGGGATCAATAATTAATTTCCCAGTCATCCTGAGAGCGCCAGTTTGAGCGACAAAAACAAGAGCAAACCGAGTTAGTAGGGAGGGTAGGAGAGGGTAGGAGAACAATTTATAAGTTTAGAAGAGGGTAGGAGAGAGTATTAGAACGATTTATAAGGGTAGGAGAGAGAAGGAAGGGTAGGAGAAAGTATTTGAAAATTTATAAGGTCAGGAGAGGGTAGGAAGACCACTTCTGAGGGAAGAAGAGGGTAGGAGTACCACTTCTGTGGGTAATAGATTGTAGGAGGATAATTTTTGAGGGTAAGGGAGGGTAGAAGGACCCCTTCTGAGGATAGGAGAGGGTAAGAGGACCACTTCTGGGGGTAGTAGAACAGGTTCTGTCTTGGCAAGACGCTTGCTCAGGCTATAGAACTTCACGACAATTTTCAACTATTTCGAAAGAAAAAACGTGGCACTAAACGAAATAACTATTGGTAGCTTCACAATCTAGCACAAATATTTACATAAACAGGCACAAATTTTGAACAACAGAAGCACAAAGTTTCGGTAAACTAGCGAGGAACAGAAATGAACAAGGCTGGACTTTAGCCTGCAGCAACACGGCACGACGCATCGCCGACACTAGCACAGCAACATCTGAGCCTAGCACCACACACACACTCTCAACACTCCCCTCACTCCATACGCTGTCTCTTATACACATCTAGATGTGTATAAGAGACAGGCTGTAGACTTGCAGGACAGCGCTCTGCAGACGTGCAGCAGCTGTAGACTTGCAGCACAGCGCTCTGCNCCCTCACTCCACACGCTCCCCTCTGCTGCCCTCACTCCACACGCTCCCCTCTGCTGCCCTCACTCCATAAGCTCCCCTCATCCTCAACCCTACAAGCCAGCAACTTTCCTCACTCGCTTCGTTTGAACTCAACCCGTCGGCCGCCCTTAAAACTCCCTCCCGTGTCGCCCCAGCCTTGGCAGCCATTGACGGCAGGACAAGAGACGGCCGCCCTTAAAATATCCTTGGCCTTGGCAACCAAGACAGTTTTACTGCCGCAGACGCAGTACAGACTGCGCGGCAGTTGTTGGCTGCGGTCGCAGTTCTTTGGTAATGAAAAGTACAATTGAACTGACGACGCGTTGGGGGCCCATCTACTCAAGGCGGTAACTGGCCTTATTCGTGAGGCATGGCAGGCCTTATTCGTGCTGTGCAGTGATGTCAGACTGTCGCACAGTATCCGTGCCAGGGCGGGGACCACATGAGTGGACCACATAGGACAGGGAACTCGAGGGAGGAAGAAGTTCGTTCTGACAATTGAAGTCATCCCGGCGCCGGCCATTGCCAGGGCCTCCTATCCTGGCCACGATGGATTTCCTGCGCCGACCACAGGAACCTCGCCTGCATCCTTGCATACACACCATCCTAACCATCACACACCATCCTAACCATCACCACGACGAGACACACCAATGATCCTCGCCTGCATCCTTGCATACACACCATCCTAACCATCACACACCATCCTAACCATCGCACACCATCCTAACCATCGCACACCAAGGATCATGGCGCATTCGGTTGGCACAGTCACCGGAAAAGATTTATTTTAACGAATGAATATCTCTGACGCACCCCACAGCAGAGCGAAATGTTCATCTCTCACCAGACTCTTGAGATATGAAACCATAAATAATTATAAGGAATAAAATTTCACTTAAAACAAGAAACTATTTATTTCAAATGTGAGCAACTCGCTACGACACAAGAGCTTTCAAGTCCATATGAAAACAATCTGTACGAAAATAACCGATAATTATTTCGAAATACTATAAATATCTAGCATGCAGGACCGATGAAGGCTTAATTAAAACTATAAGGTATATGAATCACTTTGCTTTATATTAGGTATTATTAAGACTGGTCCAAAGAAATTTCGAACACAAAAAGGTCACATTGGACAATTTGATATAACTACCTAATTGGTGAGCTGATCATCTTGATATGTGAAGTAATCCAAAATGTAACCATAAAAATAAATAACCGGTTTTCCTCAGCCCTCATGATCCCCGCAGCTCTTCGCAAAAATGCAGCTCAAAATTCCCCCAGTGAAGCCGCTAATCACAAAATCCGAAGAGAATTTGAGAAGAAATCGTCATTGACTATCTATCAATAACCGCCAGTAACGCGCGGGTCGTAAAAGTCAGAAGTCATTGTTGGTTTTGTTCACTGCTGGCCGCTGCGCCACTCGGTCTAAAGGTGAACAGCTTGCCCTCCCTCAACAGCGCCGCATAAACGGACTCTCTCATCGCATGCAGCTTAGTCCGCTCTTTCATCGCAGGCAGCTTAGTCCGCTCTCTCATCGCAGGCAGCTTAGTCCGCTCTCTCATCGCACGCAGCTTAGTCCGCTCTTTCATCGCACGCAACTTAGTCAGCTCTCTCATCGCACGCAGCTTAGACCGCTATCTTCTCTATGCCAACAATCAAGCTGAAAGTATCAGCCTAATATGTAAGGCTGTTCACGCAACTATGCTGAACTTTACTTTAAATTTGAACGTTAGGAAAGAGCCTCATGCTATTTTAGTAGAAGCTTTCAAATTGGCACCAGAACGCATGTACAAAAAAATATTTATTATATATTGATAAATTCACTTTTTATTCATTTAATATACGCATCGATTATTTTGGTCCTTCATCTTTGACCTTCCTTATGGTCTTCATCTCACACTTCCCTAGATTGCTCGTGGGCGGTCACTAGAAATAAACTAAATAAATAGACTCCCCATCGACACCATAGAAAACGGCAAAGAAAATTGTTCAACCTTGCGTCGAAATTTATGAGGGACTATCCAAATTTCGATAAAATACAAGGGATCTCTTATTGGATCGACTTAGTGGAAAAATATTGCACATCTTATCGTACGTTTCTATTTATATTGATTATTTTATTAATTTCCTTTAAAACCCGGTACATACCTGCTCCAGAACGCAGCTGAGATTCCGCCTTTCTCGAACGCCAGGGGGCATGATGCTCGCCGGTACTGCAATGAAACAAATGAATGACGTTACTTCAATAACGTTAGGTACTTGAATAGAATAAAATAGAAGTGTTGGCACTGAAGAAATAGGCCACGGCCATAGACCATGGTGAATAACGTCACTTCAACAACGTCACTTGAATAACGTCAAGATAACAAGTCAATAACGTCACTTGAATAACGTCAAGATATCAAGTCAATAACGTCTTGTGAGGCGGCGGGGTGAGGCTGGCACGGGAGAGGCGGGGTGTGAGGCGGCGGGGTGAGGCTGGCATGGGAGAGGCAAAGTATGAGGCGCTGTTGCGACGCTCAGCGGTAAGGGGACATTCCCGTGGCGCGTGCGTGGCTAAGCGGGCTTCTTTTCTCATAAAAAACGGACATTCAAAGAAAACTACAACGGAGGGGCTACTGCGGTAAACCTGCACAACTTTGTACGGGGAGAACCTTGCCTTACGAAGTTACGAAGCTCCCGCCTTACGACAAGACAGCCTTACGAACCCCCAGTTCGGAATACAGGTGCTCCGCTGTACGATCCTGGGCACCACAAGAAAGCAGTGTGCATAAAAATGTCGGTGTATTTCCGTGATGAATTTTAAATTATCAAGAAACATGCGGGTTTTTGACTCGTCCAAGGAGCTCAGCCAGAATAGATGCTCTTGCCGAGCGAAGAGCCGTCGAGGCCGCAGGCTGAGATGCGGTCAATGGCACGACGTGACTTGCAGGCTCCGGACACGCAATTAGATCAGCCATGGGAAAACCTTTAATTTTGAGGCAGGAAACAGGATCTCTGCGTCTTGCGAGCCATCACCCGAAAACACACATTGATCTCAGCGAATCTGTCTCAATAGCCGTAGTCTTTTATTGATTTTCTTACGAGCAAGACAGCTTGTGTTTTACGCTCGTGTCAAGGACAACGCGCGTAAAACTTGCCGTCCCTTCCGGAAGGGCGAAGGCATATATATGTTTATACTGCTTATGATAAGGTTGTAATATTTGTTTTAAGATCACATATCAATTTCTATACAGGATAGCGTTAAAGTGACTTAAAACGTCGGCTAACAAATTAAGCTTCCAAAGACGGAATTCTTTAGCCTCGATCAAGCAACACTGCACACGCTTAGAATAGAAGTGTCGGCATTGAAGAAATAGGCCCATGGCCTGTTGCCGATTCTTGAATTTTTGACGCTAGTAGTTAAATCCACGATAAAAGCAAGATGAAGGCAAGATGAAGGCGTGATGAAGGCATGATGAAGGCAAGATGAAGTTGGCAGTGCGAGAATAACAAGTGCGACTCAACGCTAGAGTTGCCATTTTCTCAAACGGACAAAGAAGTGTGGAGCCACAGAAACAAGTGCACCGAGCAGAACCTAGATTAGGAACATTATAAAACCTGTACACTCTAATACACTGACAATAGATAACGTGACAATGGAACCAGTCGTTAACATATAATGCAGGACCAGTGTAAGAACACATTTAAAATGTCCAAGAGCTAATAAGTATTTTATACGGCAATAATAATAATCAGTAATACGACTGTGTCGTTCCCGTTGTTGGAAAAAATTGGTGACTGAGGATTACAGAATATTTGGCAAGTTGCAATCTCTCCAATGATATCAATTAAAGGCATGCTCATTTTTAAAAGAATTTTTCCCGCTATCATATTCATGTTGTGAACACTTGTTTGAGGTATCGTCGTCTAAATTGAACAGATGCTTCAACTAATTTAACTAATTTTCCTGAAAATCCTCGGAATTATAATTACCTAGTCGAAGGAGCACCGTAGTTTGGTAAAATAAATAAAAATCTAGTCACTAAGTAAATGGCGGCTTCACATTAAAAGCACTTTTATAGAGCATTGGGTTTGCTCAGAACGAGCTCAGACGCTGTGGCCATCGAAGTAATGGTCTCAAAAGAGGTCACATCTCGCAGGAAAAATGCCTCACGCAAAAGTCGGACCGTTGCACTCTGATAACTTCTTTCCATAGAATTTATCGGTAGAGTTTTTAGCACTGGAGACCGCATACGCAACGCAGTGTTTCCTAAGAGCAATCGTAGACTTTCGACTTGGATACTCATAGGTCAGGAGAACGACTTTAAATCGGCACTTCTCACTCACATAGGTCAGGAGAACGACTTTAAATCGGCACTTCTCACTCACATAGGTCAGGAGAACGACTTTAAATCGGCAGTTCTCACTCACATAGGTCAGCAGAACAACTTTAAATCGGCACTTCTCACTCACAAAGGTCAGGAGAACAACTTTAAATCGGTAGTTCTCACTCACATAGGTCAGGAGAACGACTTTAAATCGGCAGTTCTCACCCACATAGGTCAGAAGAACGACTTTAAATCCCCCCGACAAGTCAGGAGACCGGCCCCAAATCGCCTTTTATCCCCTGATAGGTCAAAAGACCGGCCCCAAATCGCCTTTAATCCCCAGACAGAACAGGAGACCGGCCCCAAATCGCCTTTTATCCCCAGACAGGTCAAGAGACCGGCCCCAAATCGCCTTTTATCCCCAGACAGGCCAGGAGACCGGCCCTAAATCGCCTTTTATACCAAGATAGGTCAGGAGACCGGCCCAAAAACGCCTTTTATACCAAGATAGGTCAGGAGACCGGCCCTATATCGCTTCTTATCCCCAGATAGGTCATGAGACCGGCCCCAAATCACTTTTTATCCCCAAATAGGTCATGAGACCGGCCCCAAATCGCTTCTCATCCCCAGATAGGTCATGAGACCGGCCCCAAATCGCTTTTCATCCCCAGATAGGACAGGAGACCGGCCCCAAATCGCTTTTTATCCCCAGATAGGTCAAGAGACCGGCCCCAAATCGCTTTTTATCCCCAGATAGGTCAAGAGACCGGCCCCAAATCACTTTTTATCCCCAAATAGGTCATGAGACCGGCCCTATATCGCTTCTTATCCCCAGATAGGTCATGAGACCGGCCCCAAATCACTTTTTATCCCCAAATAGGTCAAGAGACCGGCCCCAAATACCTTTTTTGCTCTGCACCATCATTACGAGTGCTTCGAATTTACACCCTGATTGGGTCTAACGGTACAACGAAATTTTCTAAACGTTTCTAAGAAAATTGTCGAGCTAATCGAGAGAAGCGTAACTTCGAAACAAAACCTCCAATGAAAACCAGCAACAAAACAGGCGGTGAAGGAGATGACGAGTACGAAGAGGCGGTGCAAAAAGAACTTTTAGTGTTGATAGAATGCAGTGCGTGGGAGGCGCTTAGATGTTCACTCATCAATGAAGGGCAAAAAAGTCGTCTGTTGCAAATGCGGAGGGTCACTTGAGCAATCCAGGGCTTGGCGTCCGCACAATTGTTCGGATTCGAAGATTGCAGCTGTTAAAAATCGAATTTGGACGCAATGCGCGTCGACGTAACTTGCGAAGTGGTGACAGCAGAGTAATCGCAACAAATCTGTCGTCCATTGTATACATTGCGGACGGTTTCAAGCCAAGTAATATCATTCACAAAGAACCAATTAGACATGCATTTTCAGTTGCACAGTTAGACTTTGAGACATTTTTCAGCGCATTTTCGAAACTACTTGTGTTGAACAACCTTGCAAATCTGTTAGCAATCTTCGTATTTCAGCGAATTGAACACATTTAACAATCAGCTTCATGATAAAGATAACACGGCGTGCACTGCCTCCAGCATGTTATGGTACATCCTTCATGGAAATGACACTCAGATACCTGCGGCAGTCATATATTTCATGCATTACTTCTGAAATTTGTAAATTATTTTCAATAAATAAATTAATAAGTATTTTTTATTCATACGAAACAAAGCATCTAATTTTACGGTAACGATCGAGAATTTCAAATCATGATTTTTCGTGCAAAATTCTTTGATATAGGTACATAGCATATGCTCACAAACTATGTGTAAAGAACGTTAATTATTCAGCAGCTTTTTATTTATTTACGTATTTAAAACACAACTTCTAACCTTAAATAACATATTTTCTCTGGTCGCTTCATGACCAGCCTGCACACAAGGCTCAGGTATTTAATGCCTTCCAGATTTTACCGAAGAAAGGAGGAAGTGAGTCCCGCGGACGGCATGCTTGCATGCATATGTCTAAGCTCTTTTGTTATTATTATATTACTTATTATTTTTATTATATTGTTTATAATTTTTATTATATCATTCATCATTTTTATTCAATTATTATTTATTCAGTTCATTCCAACTTATTTATACGGTTGCCTTTAAAGTAATAATGCATGTGATACTGAATGAATTCAAGTCTAGGGCATTTACGCGCTAGAAAACTTGTGTACTTCTGGAAGTATCCAAATTTGGCCAAGATTTCAAGCACTAGCGAATGTGTTTTCTTCCATAGAATTGAAAACATACATATTTCTTGACATTAATGGCCGCCAGATGTCTCAATCTAATGCCCCAGTATTGCAGCGCTAAAAGGGTCCCCAAATACCATGACAATAAATCAGCAGAAGACATTTATTGCGCCACGCAGAACAGCGCAGCCAGGCATGCGTTGCGGCAGCTGCGTAACCGCGCGTCTTGCGTGCCACGGCTTCAGCGCGGTCACTGCATGCAATATGGTGATGATGACAGTGATGAGTGTGATGATGGAGTGTCAGTCATGACTGATGATGTCAGATCAGCGAATAGTTAATACGGTGATGCTGAGAGTGATGAAGGAGTGTCAGTCATGACTGATGATGTCTGAACAGCGGACGGTTGATACGACAATGATGAGGGCCAGTGATGATGGAGAGACAGTCATGGCTGATGATGTCAGATCAGCGGACGGTTGATGCGACAATGATGAGGGCCAGTGATGATGGCCACCAGCTTAATGCTGATACAGGCGACGTAGAGATGACGAGAGATGATGCAATAGCCGTCATCACGTGCCACTAAGAATGTACAATGGGTCAGTTGTCTTCACCATCTTAACATTTACCTAATGAAGAGAAATTGTATTGATTTGTAAGCAGGCACGCA